TACTTATTTAGTGGTTACATATAAATATTAATATTCAATATACATATATTTTTTTAAACGAGACTTTTAAAATATACGTTCCTTCCATTTACCGGAGACATTAATAGATCCATCTATTAAACACATATATATATATATATATACATTGTGACGTTTTTCTTGTTTACGCCACTAAGAAAAGGCGAGGATGGGCTCCTTATCCGTCACAGCTCCGACTTCGGAGTCCGATAATCGGAGATCTCTCCGAATCCGCAAGTTCGTCGAGTTTATCGGTTATTAGTGTGGGCGCCAGACACGCGTCCCGCGTGTCAATTTTTAGGATGACTCGCTGAATGAATTCGGGCCGACTAGCCCTGGACCGAACGGAGAGGGGCGGGGTGGAAATGATAACGTGTTAGGTGGAGTGCCAAAAAAAGATATGAACGCAAGAGTTAAATAAATATAAAAGAAACAGTTTATTCGATTACGGTAGATCTCCAGCAATGTAATTAAATTGACGGTGATACCGGACGCTGGCCGGATGCAGCGATAGGCGGAAAATAGTCTCGCGATAATACGCGGGGGATTCCTCGCGGAGATCGGAATACGGAACCGACTTCAAATCGCTTTTCGTCGCGCTTCGGCGCCACGCGTGATCAATGGCATTCCCCGCTGCACTTTTTCTATACGGACTTCGGGCCCGCGCTACGCAAACAACCCGCGTGCAAGTCTTGCTGAGCTCGGTAAGCCGGGTCAACGACCTCGCGCTCGATCAGCTGTTCAGCCAAACTTATTATTCACGTCGCTCGCCGACACGTGAATTCCGATACACAGTAGTTATTATCGCACGCGTTTTGTATTAATATTTCGCAGTTCCCGATNCCGATAGCCCGAATGCGATTCGATAGCTCGTGAGTTAGGTCGATTTACAGGGAGGACCTGGCCAATCGCCGTTGACCACCGTCCGATTGCCGTTGCCGGCCGCCTCAAACCAAATTCGCCTACGCTCAGGCGACGTAAATATTTAGAAACCACCGTGGTTTCTCGCGACAATAGGCGGCGCGTCAATGCCCTCGGGACGTATTGTACACGGCNAAAAACTATAACCGGGCGAACGCGAGGTACGAAGTAGGAAATAAATGGAACGACGTCCCGCCGGTACTTCACCAAATCGTCTCCTCGACGCTCCTGGCAGCACCCTCAGCTGACGGCCCCGCGTCCTCTCTCTCGCTTTCGCACAGCCCTCCTGTCGACCTCCGGGTGTCCTCCGGGTCTCCTCCGGCGCACTCACTCACTCGTACGGGCTCGACGGCGCACGATTACTCTACGTTCCGGCACGCGTTCTTTTCTATTACTTTCTAACGATAGNCAAGGCTGCAGATAGAACTAACGATCACAAAGAAGAACCTTCGGCGGGGGTGCGGCGATTTTATACTCTCGCGACGGCGGTTTCCGGGGGAGAATGTCGACAGCGGGGGTACCGCTTTCCGCCTATCACCGCGGATAATTTCAATTTTTGGACTCGGGTCCGGGCGGGTTAACGGCTGTCGCAG